TCCAACTCCTACACAGCACAGGGTCCTGTCCCTGATGTCCTGCAGTTCCCGAGACATAGAAAGGACAGTTGGCATGAAGAGGTCTCAAAGAGCAATAGCAGAGAGGAGAGGTTAAAAAGAAAACAACATACGCGATTCTTCTGCAGAGCACACAGTGCACAAGTCCATGGCAGCTCACCAATTCATATAGCCAAAGCTCTGACATCTCAGCTAAAATAACTGAAGGCTCACATGATGCTAAATATATCTATAGGTGAATTTTCATCAGTAGGATAGGATAGGTTTTGCCATGACAGGCATAAATGTTTCTGTCTTCTAGCTGCCATACTGAACAGATGTGGAGTTGCTCCTATCGACTCAATGACCTTCAACTGGAGAGCCCTAACTCTGAATATAATCTGTACAGGGAAGTTACCCTTCCCTACCAGTTGCAAGCAATGAATCTATACACTCATATTCCTACAAACAAGAGTTTAAAATTAGTAGTAATTTAAAAGATCAGTAGTTCAGCAGAAAACTTATTTCTGACTAATAAGATGGCTGAACTGAACCAATGCTGCAGTTCAGCAGCAAGACTCAGTCCTGACACTTAGTTACAAACCCATTTGCCCCTTGCACCAGGCAACCTTGAGAAGTTCAAGCAGCAAAGAACAGGAAAAGGGGTTTAAATGTTTGGGCACTAGATTGGTACTGAGCAAAATACACTTGCTTCCACTGCAAGCACAACTTATACAGGCACAAAATATGCTGCTTTCTTTTTTTTTAACCTCCTGTATTCAGCAGTGTGTTTAACCTTGGAGCTGTCAAGCTCCATCATGAATAATGAGCCATGACAACACTACAAGTGATCCTTGGAGAAGAGACCAATTTTTACTATATGCTATGCAAGGCAAAACACTTAGCATATTCCCATGGTACCATACCTGCTTTGAAAATATACAGTAATGTGGCCATCAAGAGGAGACTACAAGTAAATACAGAAAATATAAGCAACTTCGTGATATTTCATCACCTCAAAATACAGAACAAGGAATAAAACATGTAACATCTTAATGGTTCCTTTTTGAACTTAAACCAGGACTGAGATTTGTCTCACTGAATGTGCATTCCACACAAACATTTCGAAGCCGAGGAACATCTGCATTTGGAACAATCCATGATGGATACAGTATGAAGACAGAGGACCCCACAGGTCTCGCAGCACCATGCTCAGGGTCCTCTAGCAGATGAGGATGAACACAGCACAGAAGAATAGCCTCTGCCTCAAGCAGCCCCTCCAACACTCTCAAAACAAAGATATATACACACACCCATACACATGGGGGTGCCAGAAAGCGTAGGAAGAAACCGTAGTTGCTTGAATGACTGACTGAAGCTCCTCTACACCAAGACCCTAACAATGCCAAGGTGGGTCTTTAGGAAAGCACAGGACAGGTAAGCAAGCAGTGTCAAAAGCCATTTCTGCTGTGCACCTCCCAAGCTCAAAGGGAGGAGGAAAGACAGAGCAAATGTATTCATCTAAAGAAAGGAAAAACTAGGAAGAAACAAGCTAAAGATTTAGTCAGACATTCACTTCTTTCCTAAACACCAATAGAGGGTTGTGGTTCCAAAATCCCTTTGAAAAACATCACCTATTCAGGAAATAAATGCTAACCCATTAACACAAACCTGGAAAACACACATTCTCTAACAGACCCAAGAAACAAAGCATCCGCAATGTGTTTCTGCAAAAGGGAAAAACAAGTATGTCTTTATTCCTGGCCTATTTGCAATGAGCTATTTGCTTATGGCTTTGCAGTAAGAAAAAATTGTCTCTATTTCTGTGCCATTTCCTAGTCTTGTTGCCACAACCAATAGCACAACACATCACTTTCCACCCTCTGTACGGGCACCACTTTCTTTACACTTTAGTTTCTAAAGTTACTATAAACTAAGGGAGCTTTCAAAAAGCTCTAGAGAGCAGGAAAGCAGCAATATCAGACAGTGGAGGCTTGGCTTTCATTAAGTTGCTAAGTTTGCAGTTTCAGACTGCAGAAATCAGTCCTAAGCACTTTGAGGAGTTTTAAGTGCTAACACATCTCCCTCCCACTGAACTGCTGTTAAAAACAGCCCTCTCTCCTGCAAGACTGGATGGTTCTTAGGGAGCCAAAGTCAAAAAAACTCTTGAGTTCTTGCCAATGGTTGAAGCTGGAGAAGAGCCTCTACCACTGAAGTGATAACATAGTTACATATGATAATGTATTTATTGACAATTTTGTTTTTCCATTTGGGGGTAAAGCCACCCATATCCTCTCTCCACCTGCTCTCCTTTCTCTCTACTCACATCTTCCCTGTACATCTCCCACATTTTGCAGCTACTCGCATCGTACCAGATCTCCCCTTCCCCTGCAGCACTCCCAAATCAGCAAGACCCATGCTATCACCACACAGAGCACTACTACCATCTCCCATTCAAAAGAGTTCTGCTCTTAATGGAGGACTTGCTCTATACTCAAAGAAGTCCCCCAAATTATAGGGACAGTAATTTTCTTTTTAGCATTATAGTTAAAACTTTCTCAGCCCTCCACATACACCCTGTCAATTTCTCCCATTCCCTGATAATATATTTCCATATATGTGCCACATCACAGCTCTGCACATTTAGCTATTCCATTCCATGCTAGCAATATTTGGCAATAAGATCCCTTTAAAGAAGGCTAATTAAAGATTTCACTTGAACAGAAATTGGTACTGGGCCAACCTGTAAACTCTTTAATAAGATTTCAAACCTCACTCTATGCCAGGCAAGACTTTGTTCTCCACTATGAACTGTGACATAGCTCTAAAAGCAAAGGTGGAAAGCTTGAAACTGCAAGAGAAGGAAGGAAGGTCACAGCTCTAATTCTTGCAGCACTGCACCTTCTCCATGCAAGTCTTTCCCTGAAGATACGCTGCCTGTGGTTCACAAAATAAAAATAGGGAAACCAATTCAGATACCATGAACATAATGAAAAGTAGTCACAAAAAACCCAGCTGACAGTTGTATCAGAAGATGAAAAGACCCATACGACAGAAAATGGGTCAAAGACTCAAAGGACTGATAAAATTCAGGATGCATGGTCACATGCATACACAGAGCATGGCATTTCCTAAGAACACTTGTGTGAAGGTGGAGTTCTAATTTTCCAAGGATGGAGGAACGCAAAGCAAAAGTCTCTCAAGCACCTCAGTACCTAGTCCCATGTCAGGACAAATGTTTTCTGCCTATATATGCAAGACTTAGCACAGAAAACAGCAATCCCACCTGTGGATGCTCGTGTCCGCCTTTGCATTGCTGCCACCTTTGTTATCTGTAAGCTGTGCCCACAACATGTGGTGAAATCACGTTTCAGTCAGACTGGTTTTCTGAAGGGAATTAATGCAAGACTCTGCAAACCACCCTCTGTGCTACCTGCCTGATAACTAGGGTGGAAACTGGAAAGGGTAATTGACAAAACAATGGCCAATAGATAGTCCTGTTTTGAAGATACAGCACTAGCACCCAAGAAAACTACATAATTTTCTGTGCAAACTTAGACAAGTCATCGTTTTTCACTGTGGTCAATGACCATGTGGCATCAGAGGCAGGTGTCACATCTGATAAAGTAAAATACTCCTGTCAGAGTGGATGACTGCCCAGAAAATCCCAGCTGGAATGTGTGGGAATGATGCGCACTGAGAACACAGCTGTGAGGAAGTCTCCAACTGGGAACTCAACCCAGAGGCACTTAAAAAAAAAAAAAAAAAAAGGAAGAGTTACAAGCGTTACACATGTAAAGCATACACATCAATAATGTTTATTTGACAGAGATTAAACCCATGACTATCTACAACATCCTCAGCTTTTAACATAGCTAAAGGTTTTCCCCACTGGGAAAGGCCACACTAGAAGAATTACTTGTGACAGTAGCAGACTTTTCTCCTACACACAGAGGAGTGTGTAAGAGGCCAGCAGAACCACTCTTGTAAAAGGGCTACACGCCTGCTCCCTGGACACTATTAAAACCCGTTTCTATTGTCTTGGAGAACACCTTTGGAGGCAGGCAAACAGAACCATGGTACAACCGCAACATGGCACAAAAACTACAAAATCAACATATTGATTTTGAAAAGTAAACCACTAGTCTGACCACTCCCCAGTCCCCTAAAAGCTGAGAATAAGAAAGCAGCAGGAAAGGAACTGTCTTTTTCCAGACTTATTTCTCTAATATACCCATGCAGATTTTACCAAAACATTTGCAGGGCTTCCCAACCGAAGACAGATCTAGCAGGAAGAATTTAACCTAGAGCCTCAAAACCATCAAAATACAAGTACCTGAACGCAGACTACCATAAGAAATCCAAGATATATATTAATAGGTGCTCTGTTTATTAACACACACACACACACACAGAGCTTATCAGAAGCTCCAAGGCATTTGAAGGGAAAAGCACTATTCAAATACAGGTATTTGCCAGCAGCTGTATCACTACCGTATTTCTCTAGATGGTTTTGATTCAACTCAACAGACATCAAGCTAATCCCACAGGACAGTATCATTCACTTTTATAATAGCAACTGACCTCATTTCTGTATTTGAGACCTGCTGTAGTGTCATGACTAAATGTAGCAAGCAACAAATCACACTCTGTCAGCAGCCAGTGCCTCTCCTTTCTCTTTTCAAAGCTTTTATTCATTTCTGCATTTTTTAAAGTCATGCTGCTTCAAAACAGCTGATCCAGATGGTGGATATTTGGATTTCAACCTTCCCACATGGTGATGTGACTCAAGAAAATAAAACTGTTGTTACCTGCTGCTGACTTACTTCTTTCTTTAATTTGTTTCCTGCCATACATCAGGATAAACAATACAATTCATTGAACTCATCTTCCACACCTACCCACCACTATGTAGCAAATGTAAAATAAAATTAATAGAGGAAGGAGGGGGATGGAAAAAAAACCCAGCATGATCCAGAGGGGATGGAGGGAGCAACTCTCACCTCTGTCATAATCATCTTCCTCTACTGCTTTTTCCTGAAGCCTCTGAAGCCGTAAGATCAATGATTTTATCTATGAAAAGAGAAACAAGTTAATTATGAAGAAGTTGCATTTTGAAATATTTCGACTATTAACATCTACATCATATCAATTTAATACATTACTACATTGCTAAAATGGCCCCATTTTGAGAGTTAAGCCCAATATTTGTTAAGTGGACAGAACTCAGCTGAACTGCAGCTACTTGAGCGAAGCACGGCTTCAGTCCAAACACATACAAAGAATAACAAACAGTATTTCTTGAAAAGCAAAAGAGATCATGTGATTGTAGGATATTTTTCACACGTTGAATAAATCAAAGTAAGGACTATTAGAGGATCCTGTCAGCATGACATTTACTTCAGATCACATTCTACTCTGTGTGTTCTTGAGCCCATTCTAACAATTTTTGCTCCATATTAGTTTTGCACAGAACCCAGAATTTCCATATGAAAACCATTTTCTTCTGCAAGTAAAAAGAGAAATATAGCATGAATGTTTTGGAACAGGCATACTCACGTTATGGCACAGAAAATTGTGTTCACATAAAGCTTATGAAGTTTCATTAAGACTTAATATAGTCACATGTACATAACATTGACATTTATATTTTTAGAAGCGTTCACACTGCAAATGCTAGATGGGGGGGAAAAAATACCAAACCACGAATACCAACATCACGTGCAGAGCATCCTTTCACACCCAAGAAAAACTTTTGCCACAAAAGAAGTTTTATTTCAAAAGCTACTGATTCTCATTTTTAACATGAAGGGTCCAGACTAAAGTCCTAAATTTACTAAAAATTTTCAAAGGCCAGTGATGTATTCAAAGGCCATTACAAGTCTTTACTGCCAGATGAATTTGGTTAGAAGGTAGGCAGTCCTCATTGCCATGCCAACCACAGCCTAACATGGCTACACCTACAAGACTGAGAAGTGTTTGCTTCTTATTAAATTTATGCATGGTCTGTACGAAACGTACCATTATTAGCACTGAAAAAGGTAAGCCTGGAAAAAGAAGCAGCATACATTCTCATAGCCCAAAGCCTGAAAGTGCTTGGGAAAGCATTTTTCAGCACAAGAAAGTCCATACTGTAGATATTTTGCATTTACAAGAGATTTCACTCCTCTCTGAAACTCCTTTATATTTAAATCCCTATATTTAAATTCTAAATTGCACAGAGGAAAAATAAGTACAGCCAGCTAACAACTTAATACAAACACTAAGTTATCATGACTACACAATCAACACACAAATTAGGTAAGATATTTAAATTAACAGTATCCCTTCTAAATATGGTATGTGAAAGTCAGAAAAGAACTATAAAAAATAAAGCCAGAAAACAACCAAAAATAGGCTATAGGATGCCCAGAGAGAAAAAACAAACAACACTGCACATACTCCCTTTTCCTCAAGGCTTTATTTTCGTTTTCACATCCTGAACCTCCAATCTTTTTCTCTGAGGCTAGTGAGGAATGTGTAACATATTGAAGGGAGGAGCCATGAATCCTCACCATAAATTATTTTCTGTATTTTATGCCATACTTTTGATAGAGTTTTAAAGAAGCCTGCAGTAAGAATGATTCAAATGACACTTTTTTCATATATATGATGTACAATAACCATCTACACCGGAAAGTCAGCTTTGCTGCTCTTTGCAGTGTTTACTCCATCATGTGCTCACAGTGGTAGGTCATTTAAAGTCTGCTTAGGTACCACAGCCCAGGCATGCCCACAGCAAACTGACTGATGCTGTCACAGGAAAGTGCTTTCCATTTGCAGGCTTCTAAGATGTTTGGAGCTCATCTAATCAAAGAGTTGCTTCAGCATGGCATGTCTTATATCTGTACCATGTGATGTGCACAAGTACAGAAAAAGCGTAAGTTTAACAACTTTGGTATTGTCTCCTTTTCCGGACTACAGTTGCCTTTGTTCCTTTCTGAAAGTTTGAGACTTGCTCATTATCATGAGGGGCTTCAAAATTAAACATACACAACTGGCTAATCAAGGGCAAAGACATGTGAGGGCACATAATCCCCAGTTCTCTGTTCCATGAATTAATGACTAGAGAAATAGATAGCAACGTTTCTTTTGTGCCTATCAAAGCAGCACGCTGAAAAGATAGAAAAAATAATTTCCTATTTTGATTATGGTTTATATTCCCTAATTTGCAGTGAATTAATTTCCCAAACTGTCCCAGACTTTGGACACATTATCATTCCAGGCATGAAGCCAAAGAAACTGCTCCATAAAAGTGTGTGCAAAGCCTGTACATAAGAGAACCTAGCTTGAGTCCTAGATGCATCCTCTAGGAAAAGTAAATATTAGAGAGCATTGTAAGCCCAGATCAGATGCCCAAAAAAAAAAAAAAAAACCCACAACCCAACACCCCAACACAAAACTCCCACCATCCACTTAGGGCACCATAAACAAAAATTAAGTAAATCCAATATTTGTCTCCTTATTGCAGGCAAGCTCAAAATAGTTTCCCTCCAATGCCCACCCTGCCATCCTAAAGACTCTATAACAGAACATAGCTGATCCTTCTAAAAGTTTCCCATCCCACAAAAAACACAGTGAATGAGACTGCCTGTCTGTGTGGTACATATACACGTATGTATTTGCAAAAACAAAGACTTCTGACTCAAAAGCCCAGTACTCCTGTGGGGTGGAAGGAAAAGGAAAAAAGATTCAATTCCCAGTTAAAGCAAGGACTTGAGCCTCATTTTTCTTCGTGTGGGGAAAGCACCCATCATTTGATGACAGGTTACTCTCATACAGCTGCCTCACCCCAAGAACTTGCCTAAACTTACACATTTCCAATTACAAAGTTGAGTGTTGTCAAATCATGGTGCTTCAAGAGAAGAGTTCCTACCACCCCAAATTTTGTACTACACATACTCCAAACTGCAGACAAAACAGCCATCTGCAGAAGAAAATGGTATTTGTTGAATTCAGAAACTGATGTGTGACATATCAGAAATAAGAGGATCACAGTTTCGGTTGAACATAGGAACAGGATACTCCAACAATATCTCCTTTTTTTTTTTTTTTTTTAAAGGACCAAAAAGAAAACAAAACCAGTTCTTGCTTCTAGTATGCAGAGTGCTACTGGAAACCTTCACAAACAAATGCCACAAAAGCCATTAACGTCCCAACTCCTACATCAACTTTGACTTTAGCTCTGTAAGTAGCAGCGTTTTGAGGGCCAGGAGGGGGAATCAAAGATGAAGTGAAATTACTAACCTTTAACGTACTACGGTTGCCAAGCAGGCAGTCCTGTAGCACCGGTTCATATTTTTTTATCAAAGTATCCCAGCTATGGTCACTAACAGTGAAACTACTTTCATAGCCTGAAGTAACAGAAGAGCCAGCAGATGCTGCATCCGAGGAATCTGTAGAATATGAATATGTTGCATCTGTATCTGAGAGAGAGACAGTCTCACAGTCCTGCAGTTTACCATTCACTGTGGTCTCATTTTCATACTCCAAATCCTCACAGGGCCTGGAGAAGCAATGTAAAGCTCCCAAGTGCTCATGAGTGTGCATCATCTCTTCTGGCTTCTGCAGATTTCCTGCAGTGCTGGAATATCGAACACACTCAGTTTCCTCAACGGCTGATTTGCCTTCAGCATCTCTTACTCCAGATGCCAAGTTGAGCGAGAGCTGTATGAAACTGAAATTTGAACTAAAGCTATCATGTGCACCAACAGAACGAGAAATGACATCTCTGATTGGATATTCACAGTTGTTATTTACTTCTGTCTGATCCAAAGCACACATGTTTGTGGGCTGGCTCACTTTAGCACTGTCACTTTTCTGCTGCGTACAGCATACAGCAGAAACATCTCCTTTGCTTGTTGCTGCAGTAGAGTAAACCATTACCGCTGTGTTGTCTGACCATAGGCTCTTGCAACATGAAATATTTTTGTGGCATCCTGGCATATTTCCAGTAGTGGACAACATTGCTACCCCATTAGCAGGAACTACAGAACTACTCACTGAACTACAGCATAAGAAATCAAGGTTATTTTGGCGTTGTCTGTGCAGAGAGCAGCTCTCGTGTTCACAATGCTGCTTGCCATGTCTGAGCTCTTCTGGGCCGAAAGGTTTGCAGGCACTTGGGGACTGAAAATCTATCTGTCGCTGAGCTTCTGGCCTCATGTATCCAGGTCTTTTTGCCAGCTTCTTTTTACGGAGAGAGCCTGCAGGCACGAAGTGCTCCTGACCATCTGGGGGAGGGAAAAAAAGTTATTAAAGTGTTTCTGCCGTTTCCTAGGCTTAACATTGTAGCATCTGAAAATACTTGTTTCAGGAATTACAAACAGTGTATTGCTTTCTGTTTCAACAAAGATACTGACCATAGTGCTGATACAGGAGAAAAGGTGTTGCCAGAGAACCCTGTGTGTGTTCATTCACTTTCTAAAGAGTTTGCACCTGCTTTTAAGTGAACTCCCTAACGTAATAGGGACACAAACCTGGGTACAATGAATTGCATCATCTTCCCTATTCATAGCACCACTCTTCTGCTTTTTCATTCTCAATTTGCTTAGCAGCACACAGGCCTTGTTTAAGTCTCTCTGATCCAGAATGATTTTCAGATTTATGAGGACACCTAGGATAGGACTGAATGTGCATCAAAGAGATGAGAACCATGCAAAGAGATTTTGTGCATAATATGTTAATGCTCACGTGCAGTTTATGTTCATATCCACATGTTATTAGTATGAGCAAATGATTCAGATTCTACTTCCAGAACAGATGCAAATCTAACAGTCTGTAGCTGCAGATGTCAGTCTGATGAGATATTTTATATGTTGTCATTTAGCTTTACTGAACCCAGGACAACTACTCATTGTCCAAAATACAGTGTTAAAGGAAAAGGTTTGCATGCAGGACCATCGGTTCTAGAAAACTAATGCCACCATACAGTTGGTAGAATTACTGCACTATTAATATCATTAACAAAAGGCTCGCTAGCTCAATTTCCCCACATATACCTTACTTACATGGATGAAAAGATAAATTTGCTGTTTGCAGAGCAGAATAGAAAGAAGCAAGATAAAAATAAAATAAATTAAAAAAAAAACAAACACAGAACACAACAAGCATTAAAAGTGTGATATCAGAATGTGGTATCTTGTCTTTGTTTTCTGTACATTTCTATTAGAAAAAATTACGGGTGAAAAATTACGTGATGACTACTTTTAGTTTCACATGGATTTACTGCTGCTAGTCAAAAGGTACTCCATTCATCTGTCCTGCACACAATCAATGGGAATACAAGCTCTGCACCATAATCCATTTTGGAATACAAAAACATATTGACTGGACCTATTTACTAGAATCACCCTTCAGAGAGATCTAGTGACTACCTGAATCATGCCTTCAATTACCTGCCCTCTACTCATTGAAACAGAATCAATTGCCCAAATCTCAGGTGATAGAAATATACTCACCACTCACACAAAGCTCTTCCAAAAATACAAGTTTCCAATTTTTTTCTTTACATCCAATATATTTAATATTCATCTCTAATTACAACCCTTCAATTTTTACATTGATATATGTATACATAAACCCCTCAACAACTCCTAATGCAGGTCACATACACACCTCACTACAATGACATACTATATAAAAATTTAAGCATCAGACCTGGAACTTCCCAGGAGAATTTTCACAACATTCACTACGCTTTCTCCAAATAACCTTCCACAAAAGCAATTTATACATTTTCTACATATTAGAATAGTGGCACATCTCACCATGGGACTACAGTTAAGCTTCTGTATTCTGCTTCCTACCACCATAAATTAGAATACCCCAGCTGCCTCTTACATTGCCTTTTGTCAGAGGAAAAAGCATCACAGAAATCAGAAATAAAAAAGGTCAGGGGGTCCATCAGCTTGTCTACTATAGAAAAGACACTGAAATGCTGTACTGGGAGTAATTTAATAGAAATCTTAACAAATAGGAACTGCTTTGGGAGTAAGGGAACAAAAATTGAACAAGATGTTCTTTAGAATTTAATTCTTTTAATTTATATACAGATTAACAGCCTAAATTTCCCTTCAGCAGAAGAAATTAGTCATGCAGAAAAGTCATTCTAAGACTGGATATACTTTATCACCATTTACAAAGACTCAGGCCTCACATTTACAGTCACAGGCCTCACCTGTAAAAATGGAAAATGTTCTTTGGTTTAATTAAAATCAGTTTAACATCATTCTCGCTAAATCACTATGAATTTCTAAAGCAGACAGATAATCACAGTTCTTTAAACACCAAATTTAAACTAAGGTAATGTAAGTAAGGTTTAAATTGGCCAAAGTGTTAGATATTCAGGCAAAGTGAAACAGATGCGACTCTACAAATTCTTGGAGCCAAGTGGTACAATCGCAGTACTCTGAACTAGTCCACACAAAACTCATCCATTTCCGCGCTCTTCCCAACATTTGCAGGTAACCCGCTAGACAGGTTTACGGTTCAGCTCCCTTATGGACTCCAGGTATGTCTTTGGCAAGTCCAGCAGCACAAGACCCTCACTTGGCTACCAGAGCAGAAATGCTGCCCAAATTATGTTCAAGATTATAGCCCAAGCCACAAACCATTCCAAGGATGTTATGAGCAGAGGGTTGCAGGTCCTTAGCCTCAGTACAGCTGTGCCTAAGCTGAGCTGCACAAGGCAGAGGAGTGGACAGACACAGAGCTGGGACCAATACCTCAGCATGAACACTCACACCTTCCTCAAAGGATGAAGGAGGGAGAAGGCAGTTACAACCTGACCCCCAGCTCCAGCTAGACAGCAGTCACAGTTCCCTCAGCCACCCTGAAACCCAGCCAGGATGCTACTATGTCTTTGGGTATCCTGTATGCTGTTTACCCTTATGCTGTGTCCCTTTTCTGAAGATTAGAATAATTTCAGTTGTTTATCATCACATTTCTGAAATTTAGTTCCAGAGACTTTGTTTTTCTGCATAACCTTCCAACCATAGCTTGCTTTGTCTGCACATCAGACAGAGAAACTACACTAAACCAATTCAGCTAGCTTGCTAAAGAAAGGCAGGCCTCAATTTTCTCTTTTAATTCCCTCAGTTTCAAGCACATCAAATAACTGATGGCAATTAACTCTGAGACTACCAACACAGTTCCTTAGCAGTACCCTGACGGCAAAACAACTGAAAGAAATTAACATGCACCTAGGAAAAAGCCACAAATGGAAGAGAAGAAGCGCCTTTCAATTGCATGATTACAAACTAATTTTGAATATATGTTACAATCCTAGAAGATGATACAATGTATATTCTAATGTCAGATTATATGCAAATTGCTTCACATCTGAATTATGAAAGCCCAGAAATAATTAAAGGGGCTTTTTCACCATAACAAACTTTCCTGATGGCCAACATTTCATAAACTCTAACAGCTCGGAGCCAAAGCACAGTGGAGGCTGGGAGGGGGGGGAAGTCTATTGTTGTAAAGCAAGGAATGACCAGCAATGCTGCTCACATCTTAGTTGTACCAGTAATAAGAAAGAGGGAGAGGTGAAGTCAAAGAGTGTTTTCCACTCTGCTCAGTGGGAACTGCTACAATAGTGGCAGTTCAATTTTTCCATCAAAGGCTGTAGTAGCATTTGTGGACAGACGGGTGTAACTACCTTACAGTTTTATGAAGTCCACTGGGATTTTATAGATCAGTATGGAAACTGAAGCAATTATCTCCCCACTCCTGCTTTAAAGACATAATGCAGAATGCTTGCAAGCTCATTAAGTCCTCCCTGAAAGTAACTGAGAAATTATATATGCAGTTTTAAAGAGAGCTCAACTATATGAATACACCTATATTCCACACAGTTTATTTTTATATAGAATAACAAATTCACCTTCAGAGCATTGGTGGGTGGTAACTGTGGTGTGGAGGGAAAGATACTTGGTCATATTCAAATCCAACTATCAAAGCACTGCTCCAAGCCATTTATGTAGTGCTGCTTCTGTTAAGAAAGCCTTAAACACCTGCATTAAACTGTATGCAAACAAAGTGAGATGAAAATATTTATTATTTACAAACACGGACACACACAACTATTTAACATATCAGTAAAAATAATCTCTATGGGATTATTCGATCTGACATGACAATAACCATTACTGTTCAATTCCTACATCATTAAAATATACATAATGTTTCAGGTTCCCAATTAGTTATATTTTTGACTCATTTGCTGAATTTCAAAGATACTACTAAATCTTCAAAATAAGATGGCACTGATCTCAACACAGCCTATGTTAAAACAAACCACCATCTCTTTACATAAGTAAGCTTCCAAAGAAAGTTACTTTTCAATAAAAATTTTTATACAACTCTTAAAAGCAAAGGTCTCAGACAGCTTTTTCACCTTACTTATGGAATGTTAACTATACTTTGATTTATCTAGCATTTCATAAAGTGTATCTACAGAAAAGAAGCAATGGCTCAGCTACATTATATTTGATACCATTTGCAAATCATTTCCCCGCTAAGGGTTCCTGTGATTCCTAAGGTCACAGACTGGGTTCAGTTATTCAACTGCTAAATTTCCAAGACATCACGTACACAATATTCTCTGAATTCATTAAATGCATGTTAGTTTCTATTCTTCATTACAAAACACTTCAAAGAGCTATGCATTTTAGAAGTCAAAGTGCTCTTCTATAGCCAGTGTTTCATAGAATAGTTAGGGTTGGAAAGGCCTTAAGATCATCTAGTTCCAACCCCCCTGCCATGAGCAGGGACACCACACACTAAACTATGTCGCCCAAGGCTCTGTCCAGCCTGGCCTTGAACACCTCCAGGGTTGGAACATTCACAACTTCCTTGGGCAACCTATTCCAGTGCCTCACCACCCTCACTGTGAAGAACTTCTTCCTTATATCTAACCTGAAGTTCCCCTGTTTAAGTTCAAAGCCATTACCCCTTGTCCTACCACTAGAGTCCCTAATGAAGAGTCCCTCCCCAGCATCCTTGTAGGCCCCCTTCAGATATTGGGGGCTTTAAATAATTGTGTTTGTATTAACACACTCCCATAACATGCATGTCATTGAGTTGTTACCTTTGAGCCATTTATCTCCTTAATGCAACAACTCAAATTTTGAGACATTTGATGAAATTACAGCACACCTCTCTACAGTAAGAGCATCAGCATTAGCTGGTACCAGTTTCAATATGCTCATCAACTTCTTTTTCCCCTTCA